TCATTAATGGTAAAAAAACTTTTCCATAATTTCCATAGAAAAGTAAAAAAATTCAGTTTTTATTTACTGCTCTCAATGAAATCCTCTTACTCCAATTCAAGTCTATTCATTTGCGAGAAGCCAATGAAGCATGAAAAATTCAACTCAATAAAGCTCTATTTTCATCAAAATAGTTTTAAATATTTCATCAACAATTTTTTTCATCTGAAAATCGTTTCGCAAAACAACAACAAAAAATGTTTTAATGCCAAATTGTGTCACCAGAATAAAATAAAATATGTTTTTGTTCTCCTTGTTTAATTTAAAATAACAAAAAAAATCGCAATAAAAACACAACCAAAAGCACTATCAGCATTCGAAAGCTTTTCCTGTTTTCGAAATAACATTAACCGAATATTTGTGTTTTTCGCTTTTGCCATTAAATTTTTAAGACTCATCTCAATTAAAATTTAATGAATTTCAAAATGCATAATATGCGGATACAGAACCCCGAATGTTGCAACAGCGGCAATTTTATGTATATAGTCACATAAATAAACTCTCTTTTTTTATATTTCAGCAAATATGCCATAATGAAATACTAATAAACTCTTTCAGTCTATGTTCTATACAGACTAGTCTGTTATATTCTTTTTTATATTTATTGTTATATTTTTTGCTTCTGCTGCTGTTATTTTGTATATTAAGCTCCCATACATGTCTGTGTCATGGATGTGATGAGAAACAAGTGATGATGTTTAGGTTGTTGGGGAATTAAAACGAATTTTAGTTTTTTTAAACAGTAGAAAGCTCAAACTAAAACAGTTTATTATTTGTGAAAGCTTAATAACTGTCTAAAAACTCAGTTATGCTTAAAACCTCGATTTTGATCAAAGAGCTTGAATATTTTGCATAAAATCATTTATAGTCAAAAAGTTCGAACATTGTCAAAAAGTTTATTTTCAAAAAGTTCGACCATCGTCAAAAAGCTCGATCATTGTCAAAAAGCTTGATTATTGTCAAAAAGCTTGGTTATTGTCAAAAAGCTTGATCACTGTCAAAAAGCTTGATTATTGCCAAAAAGCTTAATCACTGTCAAAAAGTTTGATTATTGTCAAAAAGCTTGATCACTGTCAAAAAGCTCGACCATCGCAAAAAAGTTCGGTCATAATCAAAAAGCTTGATTATTGTCAAAAAGCTTGATCATTGTCAAAAAGCTTGATCATTGTCAAAAAGTTCGATCAGTTTCAAAAAAATTGATCACTGTCAAAAAACTTGATCATTGTCGAAAAGCTTGATCATTGTCAAAAAGTTCGATCATTGTCAAAAAGCTTGATTATGTCAAAAAGCTTGATTACTGTCAAAAAGTGTGATTATTGTCAAAAAGCTTGATCACTGTCAAAAAGTATGATTATTGCCAAAAAGCTTAATCACTGTCAAAAAGTTTGATTATTGTCAAAAAGCTTGATCACTGTCAAAAAGCTCGACCATCGCCAAAAAGTTCGGCCATAATCAAAAAGCTTGATTATTGTCAAAAAGCTTGATCATTGTCAAAAAGTTCGATCAGTTTCAAAAGGCTTGACCAATGTCAAAAAGCTCGGTCATTGTCAAAAAGCTCGATCATTGTCAAAAAGCTTGATCACTGTCAAAAAGCTTGATCAATGTCAAAAAGCTTGATCATTGTTAAAAATCTTGACCACTGTCAAAAAACTTGATATTGTCAAAAAGCTTGATCACTGTCAAAAAGCTTGATCACTGTCAAAAAGCTTGATCATTGTTAAAAATCTTGACCACTGTCAAAAAGCTTGATCATTGTCAAAAAGCTTGATCACTGTCAAAAAGCTTGATCAGTGTCAAAAAGCTTGATCAATGTCAAAAAGTTCGATCATTTTCAAAAAGCTTAATCGACGTCAAAGAGCTTGATTATTGGAAAAGCTCAATTATTATTTTGCATTGCTCAAAACAGGTACAAATCGACAAAACCAAAACCACGTCATCAGCCTGTAAAAAATGTGTTGCATCCAGAAATTAAATTATATCGCAAAGGATTATTTCATCAGAAGAATATGCACCAAAATATAATGTTTATGTGATGCGATATCATGTGGTTGATGTTTATGAAATTTCTTTCCTTCATTTTAAAATGTGATGTACTTGCTATCTCATGGTAGACACTTGCTGTATATAAATTACAATATAATCTTGAATAAGAAACAATGCCGAAATAAATGAAACACGTAAAATTGGGTTTATTAAAATCTTTAGCAACAAATGATGGGCTTTCCATTGTTTTGGATGTTCATTGAAATTTGCTCAATATTTTATGCGATAAAAATGAGCTTATGATGGAATTGTACCCTTGAGTATTCTCTTCAATATAATCTGAAATTGTAAAGCTCTGCCGCTCTACAAAATTCCGTCGAGGCTTTAATTTTCATCCGCAATAACCCTTTCCTCATCGTCTGCTGTAGTGATGTGGTTAATTTTGTATAAATAATTAATCAATAATTTTCGATACATTTTAGTTGAATTTTAAACCAGAACAAATTTTTAGATGAGAGTGAAATTTGCGGCTTTTTAGCTGTGGCTGTTATGAGTTCATTAATTAATTATCAATTTTAAATTTTTTGCTTATTTTTTTGTTTTATTTTTTAATTTAAAAATTTGAGGTTAGCCATTGTGTAGTGATTTAAACTTAAACTTATTAAAAACTTTAAATTGCAGAGAGCCTTTTTTAATTTTTTGGACCGTTAAAATTTAAATTTATTGAAATCGTTAAAAATTTGAAATTTTTGTGACTGTTAAAATTCAAATTTCTAATAAATTTCACAAGAAACTTTAATCAAAAATCAGAAATAAATGAAATATTGAAACATAATCAACAAAAAAAAATTTAAAATCAAACGACAGAAGCTTAATAACTATAATTTCAAGTCTTACAATCCATAACTAGCGATAAAACAGAAATTTTTTATTATGTTCAATTCCCACAAAATCAGCACTTGTAAGAACAATAAATTGATTAAATTTTATTGTAAGCCTTTAAATAAAGCACATAAAATAAAAATTTCTTTTCATTCGAACCCCTTTTCAATAGCAGTTTTGTGGTGGAGGCTTTGTTTCTGATGATAAATAAAGTACGGAAATAAAAATTCTGTCTCAAAACTTTTTCCATTTATGGAAGCGGCAAGAAAAAGGATGGGAAGGTTATTAACGACAAGCACAGTATAATGAAACTTTTATTTAAGAGGTTTGAGGAAACAAATGAGCAAAAAGAGGTATTAATGTTGATAACTGATGCGCAGTTCATAGGAATTAAATTGATTTTACAGAAGATGTTTTTATTCTTGAAACGTTTGGGATTCTAACGGAATTTTTGAATTCAAATTTTCCAAATTTCTGCAAACCACGTAGTTTTACTCAATTCAAAAAGGATTTTTGTATTTTGATGCAATTAATACACAAACTATCGCTTTGATAGCTCTAAACCATACAAAAGCATGGCAAAGACTATCTTGGTGTGCTTTAAAGCTTCTACGTATGGTATTTGTGTTAATAATGAAGAATTTTTTAATTGACCACGTGTTTATTCTCACTTCAAAAAGTTTAAATGAGTTTTTGATGAAATTAAGACATAAACTACTGATTTAAATTCTGAAAAGCATAGAAAAACATAGCACAAACTGTTTTGATCTATAAAAGGTGATAATGAAGGTTTTTTTCACTTAAATAACAAAGAAACCACGTGTTTCTCCTCACCTCAAAAAGTTTTCTTAATTTTTTCATCAAACAGCAACATTTAAAATCAGATTAACAGCTTTATAACATTCTAAAACATAGCATAAAACACTTCTAAATTCCTTTAATCCTCTTTAAGCAGTAACATTGGGCAAACTAGTCAAAATAAACACATAACCTAAATTTTTACAAAATTATTCTGTTTGAAATATGACGACAACATTCAAAGCCCAGAAAAGTACTACAAAAGTTTTTTCTTTCTTCATCTCATGCTTCCCCAACATCAGTACGTTCTAAATGTATACTGTGCTCAATAAGGATCAAAAATTATTAGCTTAAATGAGCTTTATGTAGCAGTTCATTGTTTTTTTTTCTTCTCTTTTACCATCTCAATTTCAACAATAGCAGAGCATTGTTTTTAGCTTTTACGGTTATATTCTCAGACGGTAACTATTCCATGCTATACACTTCCTTTCAAGATGCTTGCCATTTCCTACATCTTCACTTCTCATTCTCTCCCTCCTCTTGTATGTTAATGTTCTGTTATTATTTTTGATTATCACTGAAATGAAAATCTTCGTAAATAAGAAAGAAAGCATAAAGGAAAAGAAATGAAAATTAGAAGTTTTTTTCTTTTTTTTGAGAAATGAGGGCGGTAATGAAGTATGAAACAATCCCCGTAAGAAGCGAGAAAAGGTGAAGCGAAGAAAATGAGAATCAACTTTTGCTATTGATGCCAAAAAATTTGTGTATAAGAATAATGCAATAGAGATACTTATAGCTTTTTAATGGAGCTTCAATCTGTTTCTATTATTTCATCTAATGTTCCTTCCTAATCAGCACAATGGCTTTGATAATTAAGATTGAATTATGGGGTGGATAGGGGAGGATAAGATGCAGATAAAGGCGAAAATTGTTGGTTTTAAATATTGATTAGGATAAAATACTTAATTTTTGTGTTGATTGTGAGATTTAAACTACTTCGTTGATGACGTTTCTACTTAAAACCTTCAAAATGAACTGTTTATTGCTTTTTATTCAGACATTTTATTCAAAAATTTCAATTGTCAATCATTTGTTGCTTTATGCAGCCAGGATTAAGGTTATGACAGTGTTTCTTAAACTTTGTCTCGCGGTACACTTTTATGGATCGTAAAGGGATGCTTGACGTCTGTTGAAAAAAAGTTTGTGGATAAAAATGTGACGTAGGCATAAAAAAGTTTGAGAAACACTGGTTAAGAGTCACCTAATAACCCCATCCCCCCCCCCCCCCCCCCAACCACCGCTCTTCAAATTATTTATTTCTTACCAACTTTCATTATAAAAATTTTACAATATTCACAATCAGCCTTCGAAAAATCAAAATCTGGAAAATGTTGAGCTATGTCAGTCCATTTGACAGCATAAACTTCTTCATAATTTGCCTTAACTGCAGCTTTTTGAGATCCAATGACTGTAAAAATTGTCGATGTAACGTCAACATCCAAAGATTTAAGAATTTCTGTTCGAGTTTTAAGAAGTTCTACGGCAATTCCTCTATGACGATATGTCTTTTTAGTCATCATGCCATAGTCTGTTAAGTATTTGTCTGTATCAAAGTTAGAGTATACGTCATATTGGTCTTTGATGTAGTCTACGATGGATGAGACATCGCGATTGTGGGCAGTTTTGAACTAGATTTTGAGAAAATTTGGGATTATCAGTGTTAAAAAGATTTAGAGTTGATCATAAATGTTGTCTAGACTTTCAAATTTTCGGACGTCATTTATGAATAAACCCTTTGAAAATTTCACTTTTAATTTTCACCATAAACGGACTTTCACTTGCATTTTTTACATGAACACTGAAAATGCAAACACCGACAAGCTCATCACTTTTGTAACATCCAACAGATAGTCTCTTATTGATATGCTTACGCCAAATATTCCTTTTCTCTTTGACTGCCTCCACATTATTGGCAACACCACGGCATTTATTAAAACTTTCTTCTGGACAGTACTCTGAAATCATCATGTCAATTCCATTTTCGTAATCTTCTTCCAACAAATCTTGAACTCTGTACTCAACAAGTTCATCGCTGTCTTTATCTTTTGCTTGAAATTTATGATAAATTGTTGGAAATGGAAGAGCATTTGGTCGCGTGAACGTTGTCATTTTGTGTGTGAACTCGTTTGATGCTTGAAATGAACTAAAATGATTATGAAATTTTTACATTGCTAGCCGGATTTGAATGTAAACATCGAATTTTAAAACAAACTACTTTTAAAACAAACTACTTTTAAAGGCGTTCACAAACTGTGATTCACGACTTACTTGTTAATTATGAAATTATTAAATATACGTTCATCAGATAGAAAAAGTGAAGTTGTGTCATGAATAGCCTTTAGTCAAAAAATGATAGTCCACATCTGCTATGGGGGTCGTTCACTTATAACGTCCAAAATTAACGGTCATTTTTAAAAAAGGAACAATCGATTTTCAGGAATTTCTATTGTTTTTTTTTGTTGACCCCCCCCCTCCCATACCCTTGAACATCATAAGTGAACGGTCCCTTATCAATACATTCAAAATTTAAATTATTATTACTTCATGCATGTAGATAATGTTTATACGGGACCAATCAAGCATTGTTTGTGTTTAATTAATGTTTTTGAACACACATTGGAAACGATGAGGAGAGGAACTCTAATAAACAAAGTCATATGGAAAATTTGAGTCAAAGTACGTCAAAAGTTTTTGATACGCACGTAATGACATCCTTAGCTATAGCTTCGAATTGATAGGGATTATGACGTTTTTTTTTGCTATGGGAATGTCTTATGAGACACACTTGAGTGTACTTTGCTGGTCATTCAGGATATAAACCCCATAGGCTATACAGGAACACTAAACACTTTACCTTAAGGTACATAAGAGCATATAAGCACATACTATGGTCAACCAGCATTATTTATACCAAGCAACAAAAAATAAAAATAATTATCAAGTTAAAGTTCAACAAAGGTTGGATTATCATAGATTATTCGCAATATTTTTTATTGCATTAGATATCGTGTCATGCAATTTTTTAAAATTCAAACTTCCTTATCTAACTCTAACTTCATATCAAGTATTTTGCAATATTCGCTATCAGCTTTCGTAAAATCAAATTGTGGAAAGTCAGCTGCTATGTCTGTCCATTTTACAGCGACAACTTCCTCATAATTTGCCTTAACTGCTGCTTTTTGGGATCCGATGACTGTGAATACTGTTGAAGTAACGTCAACCTTTAAAGCTTTAAGGATTGGAATTCGAGCTTTCAAGAATTCGGTTCCGATTCCACGATGTCGGTAGCTTTTCTTTGTGACTAGTCCGAAATCTGATAAATATTTATCTGTGCCATATTTTTCGTAGACATCATAATTGCCTTCAATAAATTTGAGCAGCGTTAAAAGATCGCGGAAATGCTGAGTTTTGATCTACAAAATCAAGAAATAAAATAAATTGAATTTTATTGCCTTAATTAAGCCTTACCATGTTTACATCCACTGGCTCGTCATTTTTGTCATAGACAAGCAGAATATTGGTTCCAATCAGTTCCCCACTTCCATCACTTTTATAGCATCCAACAGATATTTTAGTTTGCAGGCATAAATGCCAAATTTTTTGCACTTCTGCCATTGCGTCTGGATCGTCAGGAATTCCTCTGCATCGACTGAAACTTTCTTCTGGTGAATAATCAGTTGTCATCAGCTCCACTGCCTTCTCATAGTCTTCTTCAAGTAAATCTTGAATTTGATAATCAATAATCTCATCACTGTCTAGGTCCTTTGCCTTGAATTTATGATAAATTATTGGGAATTCAAGATCACTTGGTCGTCTAAACGATTTCATGTCTATGCTAATACTGAGGCTGTAAATATGAGACTGATTTTTTTTTTTGTTGCACTACGAAATTTTTGATTAGATTAACAGACATAGATGTGAGTGGGCAATGTGTATTTTTGAACTTCTGTTCTTTACACTCCAATCATAAGCTATGATTGAATTAGGAGCAATCTATTTTTAGTGGTGTTTACTTGTTCTGTTAATATTCATAAGTGTCGATTGTGTGCGTTTCTAGAAGTAATACTCGTTCATTAGGAACAATTTAGTACCTAGTTCATTATTTTTCAAATATTTTTTTACAGTTGTATTTTAAAATATTATGTGACAGTTATTTTTCAAACATATTTTGACACTTCTTTTTCAAATATTTTTTGACAGTATAATTTCAAATATTTTTTGACAGTTATTAATTCAAATACTTTTAATTTCACCAATAGTTTAATTCCTCGCATAAATGCGTTTTCTTCAGTTAAAAGTAGCTATGCTTTGCTAGTTTTCCCTCATCCACATCATTATCATCATAATAATAATCAACAACAACAAAACATACAAATTAGATCTGAGAAAAAGGAAGAAAAAAATTCATTTAATCTCATAAAGAAATTCTTTAGCACTTCATTATCATACACACTCTTTTTTCCGCATTCGGCTGTAGAAAGAGCAGCATTCCATTCTATAGTCATTATCATAATCATTATCATAATAACAATAAGTCACCACCCCTTGACATCCACCCCATTAAATACAACTTTATTTGCAAGCTTGAAAAGGAAGCAAATGAAAAAGTTTGGTGAGCTTTCGGATTTGTTGGAGATTAGAGTGCAGATGTTTGTGAAAGTTTTGAGGATTTAGTGGAAGTTTTTTTTATGTGAATACATTTTTTTCTAGTTGGAAGTTTATCTTAGTGTCAGCATATGGACATTTGAATCAATTAGAAGTTATTACTTATTAAAGCTACTGCCTGCCCCCCACCCCTACTTACTCTAATCCCAAAAAACCTAAATCAGATGACCTTATTTGTACTTACTAGAAGATCTTAATAATTAAGCTTTGTTTTAAGCCAACAACATGTTGCAGAATTTAAAAATTTATACGAGGTTTAAAAAAGTCAAGGGGTGTGCAACTAGGTCTAATTTAAATTTTGTTCGATCGTTAAAAGGATTTAATCAAAAAGTGTCGACTTCGAAGTAGAATTATCAAGATTTCTGAAGGGTATGCAGCTATTCTCATTATATAAAGGGTATAAAACTATAAGCAATTTATAATTAATATGAACTAGGTTTGAACTAGTAAAGGCTCCATGCAAAAGCAATTGTTGCAGTTTCTAAAGCTCAATTCAGTTTCTGGGCTCCTGAAAATTGACAAAAATACCTTACTTCTCTATCTAAGCTTCCAAATTATCATTCTTCCAGACAAAATATTACCACAACAACTCATTTTCTCCCAAAAAAAACTTTCACATCCAAAAGAACTTTTTCCAGTTCAAAATATAGTACATAAAAACATAAATAAGGAAGTACAAGCAAAGGTTGGAATGAGCGAAATGTAAAAATATGCGTTGTCTTATCACTCAGTATACAAAATAAAAATAATAATAAGAAATAAATGAAATGAGTATGTACACAGTCAGTTAGTATCAAGTTTTTATATAGCTCCAAATTGAGGCAAAAGAAAACAGAAGGAAAAAAAAGAATCAAGCAAATTATTTTCATTATCACTTGTGAGAGAAGCAAAACAAATGAAAATGAAACAAATATGAAGTGAAATTGCTTGGTTTTGGCTCCCAAATTGCTACTGAAATGAGAATTGTTTTGTTGTTGTTGCTCTGTGTGAAAAATTTCATGTTTATTATTTTTTTGTGTTTTTTTGGGAGATGAAAAAGTGCGAATTTTAAATTTTGTCCGGCTGTCCATCGGTTAGTGAATAGTTTTTTGCAGTACTAGATGATATTTTACTTTAGTACTAGATGCTACTTAACTGTAGTCCTAGATGATATTTGGTTGTAGTACTAGATACTACTTTGCTGTAGTACTAGATTCTACTTTGCTGCAGTACTAGATTCTACTTTGCTTTAGTACTAGATACTGCTTAATTGTAGTACTAGATGCTACTTTGTTGTATTCTACTTAGCAGTACCAACAGATGATAATGTGCTGCTGTACTATATGTAACTTTGCTGTAGTACTAGATGTTACACCCTGAAGTACTAGATTCTCCTTTGTTGTGGTACTAGATTTTTTGTTGTTGAAGTACTAGATTCTACTTTGCTGAGTACAAGATGATACTTTGGTGTGGTACTAGATGATACTTTGGTGTTGTCAAACTTATGTCTATCTTTTAAGATGCTACAACAAGATTGAAGCTAAGCATATTTCCAAGTAACTCATAAGCGCCTTTACACAACCTTCATACTCATCATTGCTGCTTTTGTTTTTCCACTGCGATAGTAGAATGGGAGATAGACACAGTAGAATAAAAATGGATAATTTGGCAACAACAATGGCAGATAGTTGAGGCACTGAGCAATACCATTAGTGTAATTTTATAACAGCAGTACTATAATAAAGATTCTTCACTTCATAGCTGTTTATAGCTATAGCATCTGTAATCTTTATGGATTATATCGTATTGCTATGCTCCACTCAAATGGATATACGAGAGAAAATGACGTTGTGGAATTCTTTTTTTTTTTAGAGAAAAAGTAAATTTGTTGAGGTAAATGAACAATGCAGATCTGATGCTGAAACGGGGTTGGAAGTGAAATATTTCATCGGTAAATTGTTGAAAAGTTTTGAATGTTTTCTGTCTGTGATTGTGTTCTGGCTGTGTGTGTTTGTGGGTGCTAAAGTTTTGTCATGACTTGCAAGTCAATTTTCAACTTGATTAAAATGCTTCAGTCTTCATTTTGCTATTCGTATTTAGCAGTTTTATTGGATGCGGTTATATTTACTTATTTATTTTAAAATTTTTTTTATAATTTTGTGTGAACGAATTTGTGGATTGGAGATGATATTTGAACTGATTGAAAAAGTTTTGTTGATGGAAATTCATAGGGTAATGTCCAGGGACCAGCTCCTGAAGCTATTTGAGAACAATAACTCTCTAAAGTCTGAAGCAATGTAAATCTATTGTTGCAGACAAGAGGGGGGGGGGGGGGTCAAAGTTTTCTAGAAAAATCACCCATAAAGCTAGTCACATTGGTTCACCAAATCAAGAAATCTTAAGATTAGGAGATTGACATCCTAACAGATGGATTCGAACCCACATATTCGCACAAGAGAGGCTTGTCAGTTTCTGAACTATTACCAAACCATTCAGTCACAGAGATTGAATTCTAGCACTGACAAATTTGCTTACATATTGCTCAACATCTCAAAATTCAATCTAGCCCTACAGCACACTCTTGAACATCTTACTGACTGACATCTTTGCTCTTAATGAAGACAACTTGATGCTGCCCAGGGGCGTAGCCAGAAAATTTTTAAGGGGGGGGGGGGGGGCCATTTTCGAAAATTAAAAAACCGTTATTTTGTATCCTTAAATCTATATTCATTCTTCATAAGTTTAAATATTTAATTCATTTTTCATACATTAAATTTAATTTTTCGTGCTGATTTTGACATTTCTTTCATCACTTCCTCTACATTAACTGATTCTTCTCTATAAATACTTAATACATCAATTATCAGATTTTCGTAGGGGGGGCCGGGCCCCCTATGGCCCCCCTGGCTACGCCCCTGATGCTGCCACATTTTAACCATAAATGAACATCCGACAGCCCCCTCATAAGTCCTAATCTAAAATTTTAATTATTTAACACCTAAAATATTTTTGCATAACCTTAAAAAAGCATCCTTTTTGCTTCCTTTTGTTCATTTTAAATTCAACAGTTGCTTAAGAAGAAGTAAAACTTTTTCTATGTCATCAATTTTCCTTCCTTAATTTCATTTTCTTAGTAACTTATAGTCATCGGATGTTCCTGATGATATTCAGCTTGTATTATTCAGAACGGAGGGATAGTTAAGCTTGAAACGAGAGAAGAAAATCGATTTAAAGTTTCCTTTTCTTTGCTTTCCTTTATTTATCTTCTTACTTAAATAGTTTTTTACTAAAGAAAAGAAAAGAAAAAAAAAACTATTCAAATTGTGCACTTTTTTACATTTTCTTTATCCTTTAAAAGACGAGAAGAAAAGGGATGAGGGTGGGTATGGAAAAGTTTTGCTATACACAGAGTGTCTTTATGCCTTATTCTTTTATTTATTTTATTTTGTTATCTTTCTCCATCCTTCCTTCCTTCCACCTCCTTCAATTCAACTTTATATCTTCCATTATTTGGAGAAGGAAAAGAAAATTGTAAGCAGCTTGAAAATGCATGCAGGAACGGAGCGCATTCTCAAATATTTGAAACATAACGGCTTCAAATATTTGATAAATAATGGTCACAAAATATTTGAAATATAACGGTCACAAAATATTTGAAAAATAACGGTCAAGAACATTTGAATAATAACGGTCACAAAATATTTGAAACATAACGGCTACAAAATATTTGAAAAATAACGGTCAAAATACATTTAAATAATTAAAAGTCACGAAAACTTTTTAAAAATGCACTTGAGAATTTGACATGACAAGACAAAATGTGCATCACCATAAGCACTTAATCTTCAAGAAAATCCACACTAAACAAGAAAATTCTCTTCGTTCACTCTTCATGAAGAAGTGAGGAGAGACAAGTTTATTCAGAAGACGAAACCCATATCTAGCATTTACCTTTTTCCTGCATGCCATCTTTTCATCTGTCTATGACATTTCTCTCTTGCCAGGAAAAAGGTTAAAATTCTTTCTCTCTCTTTTTTTTCTATTTAAATATACATTCGCTTTTGGAATCATTGTTGATGAGGATGACAACGATTTTCTCTTTTAAATGTAGACAAGTCGAAACGATAATGGAATGGATTAAAAATAACATTTAAACTCGGATTTTTCTCTGGTTTTGCAAATACTTATTCTTTTGAGTCTTCTTTATTTATTTGACTCATTCAAGATCATGAAAATATAAATAGTGGTTAAGTTGGTGAGATGATAGCTGTCATCAGTGATTATAGCGAATAAGTCGGATTTTTAAAGAAG